GAATGTTGAATGTTGAATGCAAGTTGTGTTTTTATTACTTTATTTTGTTCACATATTGTTTGTTTTGAATTGCACCCCCCCCCCTAATGATTGTGGGCCGCCCTGAGTCCCCTCAGGGAAAAGGGCGGCCTATAAATCCAAATAAAATACCTAAAAAAAAAAAAAAACACCTCAGCTGCTGAGGCTGCGTTAGAAGAAGAAAGGCCAATTATAGGTACGTCGATAGAAGGTACCTCTAAAGCCTTGGGGAGTTCTGGTCCCACGTTATACAGGCACTTGTCCAAGATATTGGGGAGGGGACCTGTACCTGGTGATGCCCATTGGTTCTGGACCACGTCTATGAAGATTCTGGGAGACGGAATCCCCTCCTTTTCCACCTTAGGCTGGATGAAGAAGGGGTCAGTAGTGTCTGCCTTGTCCACTTCCATTCCTTGAGGTGCTTTAGGGGAAGGGATGCCAGCGATCCTCTTGGCCTTAAAGAGGAGAGAGCGAAAGACAGCAGGTTTGAACAAACTGACAAATGCAGGTGGGTCGGGGGGGGGGGGAAGACCCTCGTCTTCCGAGAGATCTGAATCTCTTGCCGGACGTTCCTCTTTGCCAAAAACCGAAGGGTGACTGGATGTAGCAGGGAGCTCATGTGATGAAGAAGCCAAGAGATCACCATCCCTGGGTTTGGAACCAGAAGAAGAAGCAGACCTGCGTGGAGTAGAGTGGTTAGAAGACCTATGTTTAAAGGCAGCTGCTATGCCACATTCAATAGCCTCAGATATCATGTCTGCCATACCAGGTGAGTAAGAGCGGCGGCGGTGGGGAGGAGGGGAAACTTCCTCTTGGTAGTGGGGCTCCTCATCCGGAGTGATGCTCCTGCCATCCTCAGATTCATCCCCACTGCAGGTGAAATCGCCTGAGCCCCTGGCATCCTCAGGTTGAATGATGGATGCAGCAGGGGAGAGGTCATCCTCCGAATCAGAGGATAAATCAGGAGGAGGACTAGGCTGAGAAGGCCTCTGAACCTGAAATAGATGGGATTCAGCATGGCTGGTCTTGGCTTTGGCCCTGCTGGGAAGAACCTGGGTGGCACTGTCCTTTGCCTGTGGCTTGGCTACACCCCTATGGGTCTCCCTGGGGACCTTGGGAGACGGATCCATGGGGGAGGTTTCTGGGGCAGGCCTGCATTTGTGGGTCCCAGAAGGAAGGGTCTCGTTGGTGGGCAGAGGCACTTGTGGCTCAAGGCCAGGAGATGAGGCCATGGTCTGTACTTATGATTCCTTGAAGTTCCCAAAATGGCCACCGGAGATCTTTGTGCCAAAACAAAATGGTCACTGAGGCTACAGAGCGTATGGGCCAGGCGCCAGAAGGTAGCTGAGGCTGCAGAATGAGGGCGTTGAAGGCCCTGCAGAGAGGCCATGGAGGTCAAGGGGAGCCGCAGCGGTGATCCGGTGAGGCGGGAGCACTGAGGGGCGGTGGCATGTAGCGGCAGCAGCTGGCGGCTCTTTTGCGGCTGCTGGCGGCACTTGGAAGCGGCTGCGGGCTTGGTGACACAAGGGAAAGGCCTGGAGGCCAGCAGAGGCGGCAGCGCTGAGCAGAGCCTCCAACGGCTGTTGCTGAGAGGCGTTGCTTGCAGAGAGCCTCTGAATTGCCGGTAAGCTCAGGAGGCAGAAGCCTCGAAAAAGCCCTGGTGAGTCTCGCCAAGAAGCCCGAGGGCTAATTGAGAGACTTAGCTCTGAGGGGCTATCTACTGATTCCTTCCAATTTGGATGTAATTTAGGTGAAATTTAGAAAAATATCCAAATAAAGGTAATTATAATATCTATTAAAGTTGAGGAGAAAGTTGAGGAGATTAAAGTTGAGGAGAAATATTAAATATTAAAGTTGAGGAGAAATATCCAAATAAAGGTAATTATAATATCTATTAAAGTTGAGGAGAAAGCAGTTAGCACAGCCAGTTCGGATTGAACTGAGTCTAAAAGAGCGGGAGGACACTCCTCTGAGGCGATGACATCACTTCGGTAGACTCAGTGCTATTGGTTACTGAGTTAACCCATGCATGACCGCTGTCTCCACCAACGTTGGAGAATTAAACCGTTTATAACATATCTGAAAAGAACTAATAAAAATGTTATTCAATTATCCAATTGACTTACTTGAGGCAAGTTAGGTTTGGGCCCATTTCTTTTTTACTGCCACTTGATGTGGAAGATTTCAAAACCTACTTTAAGATAGATGGTACAGACATAATCATACAAATTCTAAATAAATACTCTTACTATTCATGTGGTTATCAAAGGCATGTATACTCTACAGCCAGCACTATTGCTGATTTGAAGCTTGGGGAATACCAGTTTCTGAATAAGTCTACCATATTCCCAGGTTCATATATTCCCTGCCTTCTCCACTTCTATTTTTAGATTAATTTAACTATATGGAGGCTTCACTTATTAATCTTAAAATTATTGGGAACAAAATAGTTTTATAAGCTACGGCTTGAAGCTGGCTTATTAGTAAGTATAGTTAACATCACTCACTTTTTCTCCAAGCTCAGTCCACATGGCAAGCTGCAAATACTCAAAAATGAAGCGAAAGCATTTGAATCTCTTGAAAGATTATATGAAGGGAATGTGCTAAACTAGGTCAAGCTATGATTTAGTAGTATTCTTGACTCAGCTCCTTGTTCGTGTTTCAATTTTTAAAAAATTAAGTATCTCTGACTGAAATTTGATATTTTCTTTGGAATAAATGTGAACATCCTCTATAAATAATTTTTCTTTTACAAACATCAAATAAAATAACCAATTGCCAGTCTTCATTGTAAGTACAGCAATAATGCAGTGAATTTATAATCCAAGAATAGTAATAACGATGCTTTTAATATTGTTACATACTGTATGTGCCTATCCTAGGTTCCTGGGAACCTAGGATAGGCAGTATTATTCTGATAAATGGACAAAAAAGCCAAATCCAGTCTACACATCTGTAATTAAAGAGTTTAGTTTAACTTTTTCTGTGATAGTTGTTCTATATGGGAAAGCTACCTTGCCATATTAGTTCATCTTGAGAGATTAAAAAAAGGAAATAGAAGATTAAGGAGATCAAAAGTTGTTGATTTTAGTTTAATAATTTTTAGTTTAACGATTTAACTCAAGGAAGCTTAGGAAACAATCTCTAGTAGCACAGTGACCTTGTAGAAGACACACAAGATCAATTTCCTTTTTTAGAATATATTTTTTGTCTGTCTTTAAAGGCATGTCGATTGGATCCTGCTTTAGCTTCTGATCTTGAGTTGACTGCAAATCATGGGAGAATTTAGAATATTATTTCGCTGAATCTAAACAACATGTTTCTTCCAGGTTCTGATTAATGTGAAGAAACTTTTGTCTTCCTTATTCTACATTCAGAGTAATGCATATAAATTTCGTTCAGTAAAGTTATACCATTACTTTGTAAAGTTATTCTTCAGTTCTGTTAATATAATAAAAATTGATTGATGATCATTGAGTACATTTCTAAAGGCATTTGCAATCAGCTATCCTTGGTTAAGGCGGTGCACTATGTCAATACTCTGCCTTACATAATATTTCTTGTGATCCTTTGTAGTTATAATGAAAGAGTGGCTACCCTCTCCAAAGAAAAAGAAAGCCTCTAGTCCCTGCCTTAAGTATAAATTCTGCCATAATCATGAGGTTTAGAGAATGCAATTCTCTTGGGTTTCTCAAAACTGATTTCAATTAGAACTGATTTTCTATATAGAACGAGATAAGGGATAAAGAAAAAGCATAAACACACTTCAAAGAAAACAAACAATATATTCATTAACTTAAACCAGATTCTTTCATACACTGCTAAAGAATACAAATCACTATAAGTAATCCTGCACATGACATCTTCAGATGCTGAAGAAAATGACAGAAAAATACAGAAAACCTATTATTTATTCATGATGCATTGTCAGGTTGGACACAAACAAAAGGAAAATGTGGGCAGTCTATTGCATGGCTTTTCACAGTTTATATGGATTCTGTCTTCTAGGTAAAAAAAAATGGTTCCAAAAAAACCCCAGGAAAACCTTGAGTATATGTCACATCAGAGTGCTTTCAGTTTGTGAATATCAAAGTGCCAGGAATTCTTCAGTTATAACTACTTAGCTATACTGCCTAAGATGATATAGTTTTAACAAGTTGTATACTGATTTAGTAGGCTTATGTCACAATAATTATTTTTGTTTACTATAAAATGTATGAAAAAAGTTTGCCCAATATATATAAAAACATTTCATTGCACATTAGAAAGAACACTAAATTAGCAGTGTACACATGTATAACTAATTTAAAAAAGACCCTTGGGACTGGCGTCCCCTTGGGTATATCCAGCCGAAACAGCTTCCATGGATCGCCNCGGTGGAAGGGACGGGAGGCGCGAACGGAGGAGAAAGCCTGGGCGCTGGGGAGGGAAACTGCTCCATATATAAAGCGCACCGGGTTATAAGCCGCACTGCCGGTTTTTGATCAAATTTTAGGATTTTCAGTGCGGCTTATAGTCGTGAAAATACGGTATACTTTTTATATGCTAAAGAACCAGTTCCTTACTTACTTCCTCGCAGCTCAAAAATCTCTCCTATCAGCATGAAACAAGGCTCTGCAAGGGCATCCCGTTTTCCATCCACATCATCCCCATAGTCAGATAGATCATCATCTTCAGCTTCTTCCTAAGTATAATAACATAGCATGAAAATTTAATTGAACCTTTAAATGCATTTCTGCTCTCTCTCTCTAAGACAGGAATAATGACCTGCTGTTTCAAGTATTGCAATATTGTGGGATAAATGTGGGAACTGTTAGAACCGTTTTGAAACCCATGAAATTGAAGACAATGTATACAACAGATCCTCCAGTGTTTTGTTTATTGCAAAAGAATTTTTGAAGCCATTTATCGTCTTGGTTATTGGTTCATTTAAAACTACTCACACTTCTATCTTATCTGAAATAACTCCATAATGTGTTCTGTTCTTTTTAGATTAGTAAGATTAGCAAACCTCTACCTTTGTAATTTAGTTGCTTCCTTGAGTGACATATCACCCTAAGTTAGAAACAAACAAACACAAACCATATTGTAGCTTTTAACACAATGTGACCTAAGTCTAGTTTTCTCATTATTTACCAATGCTTATCTACCAAAAATAATTCTTCTTCATCCACTTACCTCCTGATGAGAAAAGAAGTCACCAGGAAGCCTCTCCAAAAAGGACGAGAGTGAAAATGTTGACTTCTTTCCCTGTATGTCGATAATCTTAAGGTATTCAGGAGAAGGGCTTAAGAAGGCATAAAGTGCTTCACTCTGACACAACCTTTCATCAGAAAGCAATTTCTGCAGAAAAAAGATACTATGATATTTGGAGATACCAAAGAGTAGATTATTTTATTTTTAAAACAAAAAACAACTGCATATGATTATTACAATCCATCTTGCATATTACAATCCATTATAGTTGATTTGGGCATTTTGTGACAAAGTACAAATATTTATCAGTAGCAGAACTTACTAAGAGACATCAGAACATATACACTATTTTTAAAGTCTGCAGTTTTTCCTCCCAAAACATATCAGAAATCTGCTTATAGATACAAAAATGAACAAAGTATAAAATAGCAACAGCAATAGCAATAGTACTTAGACATATACCGCTTTATAGTGCTTTACAGCCCTCTCGAAGCGGTTTACAGAGTCAGCATATTGCCCCCAGCAATCTGGGTCCTCATTTTATCTACCTTGGAAGGATGGAAGGCTGAGTCAACCTTGAGTCCTAACCTCTGCGCCACCATGGCTCTAGATCCTTAAATCCTCTAGATCACGAGTGTCAAATTTGCGGTCCATAGGCCAGAAACATCACGCACTGGCCATGTCCACACCCGATTTAGCAAAGGGGGGGAAAGTCACAATACATCATGTGATGATGTCGTGATGATGCAAGCTTGACACCCCTACTCTAGATACATAGATCCTTAGAGAATATAACATAAGATAAATGGAGGCTTATTCTTTTTTTAACCAATTCTACCTCCTTGACAAGAATTTACATTCAACACATTTTCAAATACTGGCCTCTCACACTATTTGTTCAAAAGCATACTTAAGCAGTAAATCTCAGTGAAAGCACACAGTTTGATGACAAAATTAGACCATTTTATCAATCTAGGGGCTGAATTTAGGATGCAGTGTGAAAAGATGTATTATCAGAAAAAATAAAAAGGAGGAAAAAAACATCTACAATGAACTCTCTGGGATCATCAAAAATTAAGGAATCTTACCTGTAAGAAATTATTTAATTGGTTCTTAGATTTCTCCATGAATTTCTGGTCTACAGATTTAAAGGGCAATTTGCTGAGTGATGGCAACTGAGTTTTCTTTAATGATGGAAAGCACTAGGTAAGAAGAAGCAATTCCTAATTAATAATCTATTTTAATTTACATGCCTAACTAAAGCCAACAAGGTATTAAACGATATGAGTAGGTACTGTTAACTTTCAATTTCTCTGTATGTCATTATACCAATAGAAGGCAACATAACACAGTCATACATCAAAAAAACCACTCAGAAACAATCAATATATTACAACTACACAAAAACATCACCATAGCACATAAACCAATTAAACCTCCCCAAAACATCTTAAATAACTCAAAAGATCCAATAATCCAAGAAGAAAAAAATCAACCCAGGCATCATCTAGAACACTCTAAGGACTGTTTGTGTGTGCATCTCTCTCTCTCTCTCTCTCTCTCCCTCCCTCTCTCTCGAGGCCAGGGAAGGAAAAATGAGCCCGTTTTTGGCCACTCTAGCCTCCAGAAGGTGGGTGGGGGTCAGCAGGTAGGCAGGGCGATGTGGGCAGGGCAGCCTCATGGTCCCACATGGGCTGGATTAATGGCTTCGCTGAGCCGTATCAGGCCCCTGGGACGTAGTTTGAGGACAGTTTCAACTGGGAAACTAAATACCCTAGACCAGGGGTGTCAAACTGAAGGCCTGGTGGCCGGATTCGGCCTGTGGGGTGCTTAGATCTGGCCCATGGGGCCATCCTGGAAACAGCGAAGGACTGGCCTGTGGTGCCTCTGCCAGTGAAAACGGAGCCCTCCTGAGCTCCATTTTCACTGGCAGAGGGTTGCAGGAGTCTTTTGCAGTTGAAAATGGAATTCAGGAGCGTGTTTTCCCTGGCAGAGTGCTCAGGCATGAGTGACATCAAGCTGGCCATGCCCAGTCTGGACATGCCCACATTGGCCTCCCAAATATAACCTTGATGTGGCCCTCAATGAAATCGAGTTTGACTCCCCTGCCCTAGACCAAAGTAAATCTCAAAACACTAGGGAATTGACCTAATCAAGGAACTACTAACTCAGACAAACAATCAAATGATAAACAACAGATTAATCAAGACTATCAGTAAAAAATAACAACCCACTAACACTGACAGGGCAAGCTATTGTATATAAACAGAAAACAAATCACACTCTTCCTAGCACTAAAGATGTTACCTAGCTGGGTAATGAAACATCTGCAGGAAAACAAACAAGCTTAGAGAATACCAAAATCCTTACACCACATGCTACTATTTTAGTACAGCCATGCTTCCGGAAATAAACCTACACCAGCTTAAGATTTATAGTAGCCATCACTTTGCTGAACACCACAATGTGTTATAAAAGAATTTGAATATTCCTGGGGCTTGGAATGTGTTAAGGCCTCCATTACTTGGCTTTACTATTAAATGATTAATCCATACTGCGGTTTGTATTTATTTATTTAATTTTGTGGATGTTTTTATTGTTTTAATGTTTTTAAATTGTTTCATAATTTTAAAATTGTAAACTGCCCAGAGTCACTTGGCAGAGTTTGACAGCTACAGAAATTGAATAAACAATAATAAATAAAAATACTCTTGATACAAGAAAATCAACTAACTTCCTAACACTAACATTCTGAACAAAGGTAGGAAGGTATTTCCATTGATCTACCAAATGAATCTAGACCTAACTAAAAAGTCAATAAAATAACACAGAAGACACTTCCATATTATAATACCCAAGGATCAAGCATGACTTTATTGACTTTTCCTTAATTTAATGAATATTGAATATACTAATAATTTTATGAATTAAAGTACAGTCATTTCTATCGATCACGTCTATCAATTGTAACAAACAATTTAAAAAGGACTAGCAGTGGAGACCATTCAGTAGAAGATGACCCAGTTGAGCCCAAGGGTGGAATCAATTGCATCATTAGTATGGAGTCATTATACCCCCATAACAGGTGTGGGTTCCGGCAGACACTACTGCCGGTTCGCTCGTGCGCGTGCTGTGCTTACACATGCACATTGCACTTAAAATTGTTCTGCACTTGCGCAGAACTGAAAAACAAGATGCCAGCGTCTATGGTGCCAACCGGGGAACCAATTCAAGGGCATGGCAGGCCTGAGTCACTGCTGGTTCTAACAACCAAGACTGTCAAACCACTACCGGTTCGGCCAAACCAGTAGGAACCCACCACTGCCCCATCAGACACCTAAGTTCAGTCCCTCTTGTGTCGGTTTTCATTGAATCTTTTTTTTAATAAAAGTTNCATTGCACATTAGAAAGAACACTAAATTAGCAGTGTACACATGTATAACTAATTTAAAAAAGACCCTTGGGACTGGCGTCCCCTTGGGTATATCCAGCCGAAACAGCTTCCATGGATCGCCATAAATTTCCATGGAAGTCGCCTATACCCACGTTGGGTGAAGAGGCGTCGAGTGAGTGAGTGAGTGAATTTAAAAAATAAATTTAAAACATCCTTTGAAAGCTCTGACTTCCTAAAACATTCTTCCATAGTTGCTGAAAAAGTATTTGAGTTTTTTTGCATATAATTAAATCAATATCTGCTATTAGACCATTTGAATAATTACTTGAAATCAGTAAGCCCTGAAATTCATGGGAGATACAGGTTACCAATGGTGATATATAGGTAATACATGTTAGAAGAAACGTAGATTATAATTCAGGCCTTTATGCATTGGATCATTAATTAACCATAATATGCATTGCAACACATCTGTGTATTTAAAATCATAGCATAAGATTCATTGCTGTTAAAAAGAACAAGCTAATTTTCCTAATGTGTGAATTGTTAGGATTCTTTTAAAAACAATTTATAAAAAGATCAACTTGTCTCATATTTGCTGGATTATGGCTCTTTTTTTGCACCTATTGGTAATACTGTCTTTGAGTCATACATATCTGAAAATACTGTATTTTTTTTAGTATGACATATTAATAAATTAAGTTTAAAATACACACTGCTGCTCTAACAACAACTTAATAGCTCTCTTATCTGTTCTTTAAATAGTTAAACTGGCAACCTTGACATGAAATTAAATAAGGGTGTAATAGCCCTTTTAATAGAGATACTTTACAGAAAACATACCCTGGATAACATGGGCTGAGTGATTTAACTGCACTTCAATTTATTAGGATGATAAGATATTTATATCCTGCTTAAGGCTGATTCACTCACAATGTGTTTCAAGATAATGCTAAATTTTGGTTGTCTGTTGTATTCAAACAAATACTGTTCTCTGAAACAGCACTCCAACTTTCAAACTGTAATGAGAGATGTAATTATGAAGCAGTGCACTCTACTTTTATAATTTATTGCTTACAAAGGCTGCAAACTATGGAAAATCTTTGGTAAAAATAAAAGCAGTAAAATTTACACAGTTTCTTTACATATATTGCACAACAAGGCTCATCAAAACACAAGAAAATAGAGAAACAGTGAGTATCTTCAGCGAAAAAAATAACTGTACAACATCCATTAAGATATCACTAAAGCAAAATGCCTTTTGTAAATGCTTAAAATATTTTATATTTCATATATCTTATATTAACATTCACATTTCAATCTGTATCTTAAAGAGATTTATTCATATAACAAGTTAAATAAAAGCCAGAAACTACACATTGCTGGCATTCTACCCTATCATCTGTTCTTTTCAAGTCTGCTTTCCTTTGCTTTGTGTAAATCTAAAAAAAAGAAAAGAAAAATATACAAATTCTCAGAAGTTTTCAGTCAACCCTCTATGGAAAAGAGGGAAATGTTTAATGTCTATTATTACCAACAGACATTCTTCTTACTAATTCACCTGAACATTCAAACCTGAGCTGCTTTAACCTTCTCTAAATGAATTCGCAGTTCAGGACACAATTCAAGTAGCAGCATTTCCAATAATACCTAGGAGAAAAAAAAAATTAAAATGTTTTTTTTCCCTTCTAAACTGACATTACAGCATCCAATATCACAAGTATAAACTGGAGGACTGAAGCACAATTTACTTCTTCTGAAGAGACACCTTAGGGACCCCAGAATGGACGATTTAGGGGTTATGGGTGTTTCCTACTCTGCAACCAACTTTAAATAAATGAATCTGAATATTTTTTCCAGGGAAGTATAATGAAAAGGTCTCCCAATAATGAGAAAGAAAGCTCTCTGTTCTGGAATAGGATTGCTCTATGCAACTCCAAATACATAATATGCACGATTGCATGTGTATACCGCTGTCCATCATTTTCCCATTTTCCAGGTGGTTCAAGCATGGTAGCGATCCTAATTGCTATCATATATTGGTGTTAACTGACAACAGGGACCTCTAGATCTACTACTAGATCTAGTATGATTGAGGAGATCCCAAGAATTAGTAAATTATTTTTATAACTTGATTTAACCCATTTCCTTCTATTGCTTCAGCTACTACCCAGCTAGAGAAGGATCAGAAATTAAAGAAAACAGGTGTGAACTTTGTATTCACTTGTGGATTTTACCCATTCCAAGTTTTAAAAAAAGTTCTAGGAAACAGTATATTAGACAATGAAGCTTCTAAGATCTGAGAAAGGATCAGTTTAAAATAAAAAGCAACCCTGTCTGAGTTAAACTCACATAAAGAAGATGCTTATTGGCCTTGGTTTCTTGTAGTGCATTGAACACTTTGATTATGCCATGGCGAGCATTTTGCTGTCCAACGAGACTTTGGAGAGTGTCTGAAAGAAGCATATTTTTAAAAAAAAGGTTGATTGATTTTAATACTTTCAACCATTTATGAAGAAATATAATCTAAAAATACAGTGTATAATGAAATAGAAATATATCCATAATAGTGTAATGATAAAAACCCAAGCTGGGTGCAATGCCAACAAAATAGTAAGTCCAACTACTATAATAGACTAAAGGAATGATGGAAGTCCAGTTATCTCTAGTTCCTGTACACTGTCATCTAAATTATTTTTCCTCACTGTGAAATACAATACCATGGAAGAGCCATTGTAGCACAGTGGCTAGAATGCAGTATTGCAGGCTAACTCTGCTGACAGCCAGCAATTCGATCCTGATCAGTTC